TAGGACCCTTTCAAAGATTTTTATGATATGGGATGTTAGTGCTATTGGTCTGTAGTTCTTTGCTGTTGCTTTACTGCCCCTTTGTGGAGTGGGGCTATGTCTGTTGTTTTTAGTAACTGTGGGACGACCCCCGTGTCCATGCTCCCTCTCCATAGGATGGAAAAGGCTCGTGATAGGGGCTTCTTGCAGTTTTTGATGAACACAGAGTTCCATGAGTCTGGCCCTGGGGCAGAGTGCATGGGCATGTCATTTATCGCCTGTTCGAAGTCATTTGGCGTCAGGATAACATCGGATAGGCTTGTGTTAATCAAATTTTGTGGCTCTCTCATAAAAAATTCATTTTGATCTTCGACTGTCAGTCTGGTTAGCGGCTTGCTAAAAACTGAGTCATATTGGGACTTGAGTAGCTCACTCATTTCCTTGCTGTCATCTGTGTAGGACCCATCTTGTTTAAGTAGGGGCCCAATACTGGACGTTGTTCTCGATTTTGATTTGGCATAGGAGAAGAAATACTTTGGGTTTCTTTCGATTTCATTTATGGCTTTTAGTTCTTCCCGCGATTCCTGACTCCTAAAGGATTCTTTTAGCTTAAGTTCGATGCTTGCTATTTCTCTGACCAGTGTCTCCCTACGCATTTCAGATATATTGACCTCTGTGGTTCCACTCCAGGAATGACTGGATTTGGTGTACGATTTCTGCCATTTCCTGCCAGTTTTTTTTCCTTCCTGGCACTAAAAAACCTCTCCCTCTTGAGTGGCTGTGGCTACCCAGGTTTTCCCATGGCCTGGATGTTTTGTATCTTTTTGTCCCCTTTAGATGGTATGCCTGGCAATTTAATTTATAGCACAGTCTTTCCTGTACCGAAGAGGTACACAGTTCAGGGTGAAAAAGCTTACAGGAAGGGAGTTTGCATTTTCCTGTTGTCATGTGGGCATGGCATTTTCTAGGGTGGTCATAGTTGCACGTCCCATCTGTTTTTCCAGATTTCCCATGCCAGCAGATACCAAGTGCATAGTATGTGCACAGGCTTGGTTTCCGTTTGCCTTGGGTTTCTGTGACTGTATTCCCTGTTGGTGCATGTTTCCCTGTCTTACTTCTATCCTCCCTAGCACCAACAATGGAGCTCCCACCAGTTGTTTTTGGTAATATATCCTCACTATTGCTAGTGGAGTCCTCTTGTTTGCTATTTCCTGCGGTATTTCTAGTTTGCAATATTGGTTTTATCTTATCTTTGTATCTTTGAGTACACTTGTTTCCCTACTATGGCTCCTGTCCCCTATGAGGTCATTTATATGTATTCCTTCCTGCGTATAATTCCCGACTACCTGGACAAAATCTCCAGCTTCACCATTACTGTCTCCCAGGACAGCATCTTCAGCTTCACCATTACTGTCTCCCAGGACAGCACCTCCAGCTTCACCATTACTGTCTCCCAGGACAGCACCTCCCGCTTCACCATTACTGTCTCCCAGGACAGCACTATCAGCCCCACATTTACTGACTACAAGGACTTCATCTCCAGCCTTACAGTTTCTGACTACATGGCCAGTATCAAGGGCAGTACCATTCAGCCCAGACTTTTTATGTTCCCATCTGTTGTAGAAAGCTTCGAGGTTGTCTATGAAAGCAGCTTTGATGCTGTCCTCTTTTAATACCCTTGTGATTTTAGTCCACAGATTTATCTCATTTGGGCATACCCAAAAACACTTCCCTGTTTTAACACTGCTTGTAGCTAGTTCTTGGATATCTGCACAAGGGGCGTGACACCAATTTCCACAAAAATGACAATTTACCCAAGTGGAAGCCCGTTTGTTTGACTGACCACAGACTACACACAGCTTCATCACACAGACCCATCCAAAAAACCTCTCAACACGTTCTCCAGTAAGCTTCCTGAGGCACATCATTCCGTCCTGATGGAGCCCCCGACAGTCCTGTCTGCTCCCCTGAGCCTACCGGGAGTGTAACACAGGTAGCGACCGCTGGTACTTCCCGATCAACCTCTTCGCTCCAACGACCACTCGTCCCTGCTTCCTCCTCTCCCAACTCGGGCATCAACTCACAAGGCTGCTGCTTCACTGCCAACGTACCAGGAGCCCTGGTAGGCTGCCTCCTAGGACACTGTGCTGCCATATGGTTGTAGGAGCTACATAATCGACAGGTCCTTCTCTGGCCGGCATAGTGCACAAAGACCTGCATCCTGTAACCCACTAGCTTGACGTAGGATGGTATAGGCCTAGTTTTAGTTTAATATGTTTATTATGCACCCCATACCCATCCTGTGGGCGGTAGTCAAAAGATTACAGAGGTACATAATTGGTCCAGGGACTGGACTCCAAAGTTTTGATAGCTGAGCAAGTTACAGAGGTAATGAACTCACAATTTGCAAAGGTAATGAACTCACAATTTACAAAGGTAATGAACTCACAATTTACAAAGGTAATGAACTCCAGGTAAGTCTGGTCACAATCATGACAAGTTACAAAGGTATTTACAGATTACAGAGGTACACTAGCCAACATCATTTTGAGGGTATAAGAACCCTCAGGTCGTCCCTCATATGGCCCATCTTTCCATACTCCCATCGTAGCTGAATGGACTTTACCATAACTTTTGAAGACCTCCTGTATACCATACGCAGTCGCCTCGAAAGGGATATTTCTCACCTTCACCCACGTATAGTACTTAGACACGTCGTTTAAGACGACGTCCACCGTCGAGTTCACAGTCATCTTCCTCTCCTGGTACTCGTCAACAAGTTTGTCGTAGAAGCCAGTACGATTCAGTTTCAGGAATACTCTGGACATCCCATTTAAAACTACACCATATACTTCATCGTTGGGGACACCATAGACTTCTCTGATGATGGCAGGTAGCAATGTATTCATTGTTTCGCCACTGAGCATGCCACGTACCAGCTGAATACAGTGTTGATCCGCTGACTCACTCGATACGCCATTTTGCCTTCCAGTTGCTAAAGGTCACCACCAGAGGGCAGGTGTAGCTACTAGGCGTGCGTCCTCTCTCCCCGGAGGTCGAGAGACGAATGACCACATAAAATTGTCGCACTATGGTATAAGAGGGCACTCCCTCAACTACCTAAAGTCATACCTCAGCAACAGAAGCCAATATGTGTGCACAAATGGGGCAAACTCTTCCGCACAGCCAATTACAGTTGGTGTCCCACAGGGAAGTGTCCCAGGCCCTCTTCTCTTTCTCATATACATAAATGACCTACAAAATGCATCACAACTACTCAAACCCACACTATTTGCAGATGACACTACATACGTCTACTCTCACCCGAGCCCAGTCATGCTAGCCAATTCTGTAAATACCGAATTACAGGATATATCAACCTGGATGAGGACCAACAAACTTACTCTAAACATTGACAAAACCTACTACATTCAGTTTGGTAACAGAGCTACAGATGTGTTTCTTAATATAATGATAAATGGATCACCTATCACAAAACTCACAGAGGGAAAATTCCTAGGAATCCACCTTGATAATAGACTCAAATTTCAAACACATATACAACAAATTTCCAAAAAAATTTCCAAGACCGTAGGCATACTATCGAAGATACGGTACTATGTTCCACAGTCAGCCCTCCTGGCGCTATATCACTCACTTATTTACCCTATCCCACCTATGGAATTTGTGCATGGGGCTCAACAACAATAAACCATCTCAGACCACTAATCACCCAACAAAAGGCTGCAGTCAGAATGATGATAAATTCCCACTACAGACAATACACTCCACCAATATTCAAAACTCTAAACCTACTCACCATACAAAACATCCATACTTATTACTGCACCTACTACATACATAGAACACTTAACTCTGACATAAACCCTCCCCTCAAACATCTCCTTGCCAACCTCAACAGAACATATAACCATAACACAAGACACAGATCAATCTTTGATGTTCCTCGTGTCCATCTCACGCTATGCAAAAACTCAATGCACATAAAAGGCCCTAAAATCTGGAATTCATTACCTGTGAATATAAAAGAAACACTGTTTATAAATTCAAGTCTCTTCTCAAAAATCACTTACTCACCCACAACTAAATAAATACTGAGTAATTGTATCTCATAAATTGTATCTCATATATGTATCTCATTATTGTATCTCATAAATATCATCCTGTGACTCAATCAAACTTTGTTACTATTTAACTTCATTACCTAACATAATACTCCATTCTACTGATTACACAACAACACAGTAAATGACCATATGACCTGTCTTTGTAATACTCATTTGTACTAAATTGTTATCTGTTTTACAATAATTTTTGTACCACAGAATATATCATTGCTTAGTTAATCTTAAGTTAATTTTAAGCTGCCCATAATGCTCTGCATACAAGGGGCTTTGGCATGCTGCATTTTAAAAATTGTATTCCTTGTACTTCTCTATCATGTTCAAATAAATAAATAAATAAATAAATAAAAATAAACTGGTAGTGTGCAAGACCAGGCAGGATAACTTCTATACAGACTCTCTAAATGTGGATTTACAGACTTTTATGCATTTATAGAATATCTGCCATAAACACATTTGTTCTAGACATCAAATGGTGACAAAGTGTGTGTACATAACCTAGGATAACCTTAAATAGTCAATGTGACATAATTCCACTATTTATTATCGCCTCCCTATCAAAATATAAAAATTAGATAGAGTTAAAATTTTGCCTAATCACCGAACCTGTTTTGACATATATAACTTATTGCTTAATTTATTCGAGATTATAATAATTACATTAATATTGTAACATTTTATAAGCACTATTTCTAGATACCCGGCAAATATGAGAACTCGTTTTCTGTTGCTTAGAAAATATAAAGTAATAAAACGTAGGATAAATGGGATCACAATGAAACAAAATCGTGTTGTTAGCTGCTGGTGGAGGATCGTAATGTGTTAGTGAGACAACAAGTGCAGTGACGGAAACGATTCCTGATTTTGCCCCTCGATCGTTTTCCTTCATATTACCTTCACTCCTGGTGATGTTTAGGTCCATGTGATTTCTTATTTCCATCTGGTCGTCTTTACGTTGACTGGTGGGAGTTGTTGTTCCCTGAGTGACCTGCTGCTCCCCGACCCTCCATAACTATATCATCATGTCTGATCTTGATAGTTTTTTTGCCAAAAAGGACAAGAAGAAGGTGAAGGGGAAGAAGTTTACCACTACCGATGAAATTGCTCGTCGACTTGAAGACTGTGAGAAGAAAGAGCACCAGCAGGGGCTCAAAGTTAAGCCAGAGCCCGTGAAGAAGCTGGAGGAGAGCTCTGAGAGCGTACCTGTCATTGATGAACCTCCACAGAAGGTAAAAGATCTTGGTATATTGTTATGGGTGTATGAAGGGCAGGGCTGCATATGGACCTGTCTGACACAGCCAATATTCTTACTTATTTAATGTAAGTATAAGTGTGTGCATGGGGTCAAAATTTTAATTCTCAGGCAAGGAATAACAGTAAAGTGGATTTGGTTTTGAATTTTCACTTATTTATGTATTGACGTTTTTTTAAGTAGGTGATGAGCAAGACATTAATGACTGTTCCCTTACAGATAAAACTTTATCTTATAAACTATGTATTTGTACATATCTCTTAACTAACCTTATAAATTCTTAAAAAAAACTTTAAAATCTTAAATGGAGAGATGTAACTTTTTTTTTTTTTTTATCCTGTGAAGTTTGTCAGGGTTAGGAATCAACACCACCATAATAATAATATAATAATATCTTTATATACTACAAGTACATGTACAAGGTATACAGTCCTAGCTGATATCAATGACATACTACTCTATAGAAAGCTGCTTGTTATGCTGAGCATTTTGGGCAAATTAGGTCAGTTTTGTCCCAGGATGCAACCCACACCAGTCAACTGACACCCAGGTATCCATTTTACACTAATGGGTGAACAGGGATAGCAAGTGTCCTATGGAAACACGTCCCTAATGTTTTTCGGCCATACCAGAGGAGATTCTAACTCTGGACCTCAGTGTGAGCTGAGTGTGCTAGCAATTGAGCTACAGTACTAGGGGAGGTGAACATAGTTTTGTAATACACACAGTAGGTGGTCAGGCATTGTACAGCAATAAAGGAGTTGAACAAATTGCTCGAATATGTCCTAGCACGAGCCAGTTCAGGAGGAGAGCTAAAATGTACCTAATGACTGAAGCTACAGAAAAATTTGAGTGATTTCTTGTTTAGTTAATATTTGTAAGCATAAATTATACATAGCAGCATATATGTAGATTACCTGGACCTCTCTATTTAATGTTCGTGTAAATAACTTGGCTCACTGTTCCTATTGTGCCTCTTTATACTGTAATTGTTTTCCCCACAGTTGCGTTACTTAGCTGTTTTAAGTTTTAAGGTTATGATCATGATTGATTTATACTGTATCATACAGCTAGATTTTAAATAAAATATTACAAGGATCCCAATGGAAATAAGTCACTTTGACTTTTTAAGGGTTATCCTAGGTAATTTACTCATGTTACTAAATTTGTGTAACTGTACTATTGTACCTGTACCTAAATAAACTTAATACTGAGAAAGTATACAAATAATAGAACTTGTTTCAAATGTGCTTTTTTGCATTCCACAGTGACATATATTACCATGCTTTCCAGCATCATTTTGTGATGCCTGCCCAGTAAAAAGCTCAGATAACTATCAATGCCTAATTTTGTAGTTGTGAAAGTAATGCCTGGTACCATTTTGAGTGGATGTAAGTGTGAGCCTTGCAATGCTTATTTAAATATGGAAGTAATCACTTATATATGCATTTTGGAGATGATCGTAATAGCGATCTTCATTTATACCCAGGTACATGATATACTTAGTTGACATCCCTGGCACATGTTATAGAAAGCCATTGGTTATGCAGAGCATTTTGGGCAACATAGGTTAATCTTGTCTCTCAGGATTTGACCCACAACAGTCTAGGTGAACGGGTAACAGGTGTAAGGAAATGTGCCCAACATTTCGCCCATTGACGTTTTTTTAAGTAGGTGATGAGCAAGACATTAATGACTGTTCCCTTACAGATAAAACTTTATCTTATAAACTATGTATTTGTACATATCTCTTAACTAACCTTATAAATTCTTAAAAAAAACTTTAAAATCTTAAATGGTTATGCAGAGCATTTTGGGCAACATAGGTTAATCTTGTCTCTCAGGATTTGACCCACAACAGTCTAGGTGAACGGGTAACAGGTGTAAGGAAATGTGCCCAACATTTCGCCCATTGACGTTTTTTTAAGTAGGTGATGAGCAAGACATTAATGACTGTTCCCTTACAGATAAAACTTTATCTTATAAACTATGTATTTGTACATATCTCTTAACTAACCTTATAAATTCTTAAAAAAAACTTTAAAATCTTAAATGGAGAGATGTAACTTTTTTTTTTTTTTTATCCTGTGAAGTTTGTCAGGGTTAGGAATCAACACCACCATAATAATAATATAATAATATCTTTATATACTACAAGTACATGTACAAGGTATACAGTCCTAGCTGATATCAATGACATACTACTCTATAGAAAGCTGCTTGTTATGCTGAGCATTTTGGGCAAATTAGGTCAGTTTTGTCCCAGGATGCAACCCACACCAGTCAACTGACACCCAGGTATCCATTTTACACTAATGGGTGAACAGGGATAGCAAGTGGGCCCTCAATGTGTGAAGTGAGGACACTAAGCTGAAGTCGCTGAATTTCTGCGTTACTAGCCTCAATGTGTCACCCAAGTGACAGGCTTGACTTGATCAAATATGGTAACAAGTTTCCCAACATCAGTGCCATAATTCATGTAATAATGTATGCTGTATAGTCTGTAGCTGTCTTTCATACCATTGTTTCTGTATTCCTGTACAGTGGACCCCCGAATTTTGAAGTTTCGAAACCATTTTCCCCATAAGAAATAATGTAAATCCAATTAATCCATTCCAGACACCCAAAAGTACAGTAACAAAAATTTTTTTTTTTTTTATGGAATATAGATTTACTTAGAGAAGAATGAGAAATCAAATAAAAAGCAATAATATCACACTTACCTTTTTTGAAGACTTTAATTGGTATATGGAAGATAAGAATTCGTTCAAATTTTTAACTCCCAGAGGGTTAGCCACCCAGGATAACCCAAGAAAGTCATTGCATCATTGGGGACTGTCTAACTTATTTCCATTGGGGTCCTCAACCTTGTCCCCCAGGATGCAATCCACACCAGTTGACTGACACCCTGGTACTTATTTGCTGCTAGGTGAACAGGACAGCAGGTGTAAGGAAACGTGTCGAAATGTTTCCACCCACCGGGAATTGAACCCGGGCCCTCCATGTATGAAGCGGGAACTTTAGCCACCAGGTCACCGGGCCTGGGATGGAGGAGGAGAGAGGATGGAGAAGTTACACTGGTATTTAGAAGGGGAATCCCCTTCCATAAAGACTTTAGGTACCGAGTCCTTATCCAGGGTTACTTCCCTTCTTCGTTTTTTAATGTCACTAGGACCAGCTTGAGTCACTGGACCCGTTGCTCAAAAAATTGTTCCAGAGAGCTCCGTTTCTGGCATCTCTTAAAAATTTGCCTAAAATGGGACAAGGCATTGTCATTGTACATGTTGCCTACATGGCTTGCAACAGCTTGGTCAGGGTGATGTTCCTCCACAAATGTTTGCACCCTACTCCACATCGCACAAATTTCCTTAATCTCTGAAGAAGGCACTTTCTTCCATCTCTCTTCCTCCTCCTGTGAAGCAATTTCCTGAGCTGTGGTCTGTTGCTGTTGCAGATGAAGGTCTTGCAGCTCTTCAGTGGTTACTTCTTCATTGTGGTCCTCCACTAACTCTTCCACATCCTCGCCACTCGCATCCAACCCTATGGACTTCCCCAGTGCCATAATAGATTCCACAACAAGTGTAGGGTTGACAGGGTCAGGCTCAAACCCTTCAAAATCCTTCTCTTGGACACATTCTGGCCACAGTTTTCTCCAAGCAGAGCTCAAACTCCTGGAAGTCACTCTACTGCATAGGCCCTATAAGGCCTATGCAGTAGAAGATATTGTAGTGATTCTTACAAAACTCTCTTAGGGTCAATTCAAATCCGAGGTTATGTCAAAGCACCTTTGAAACAATGCTTTGGTGTAAAGTTTTTAGAAATTTGAAATGATCTGCTGGTCCATGGGCTGGTTGAGAGGAATGGTATTAGGGGGTAAGAACTTCACTGTGATGAAACTAAATTACTACACCATTTGGTCATCCAACTCTGGAGGATGAGCAGGAGCATTGTCCATTACCAGGAGGTACTTGAGTGGCAATTTATTTTCCAGGAGGTATCCTTCACACTCGGGTCAAACACTTCATTGAACTAATCGAGGAAAATTTCCCTTGTGACCCATGCCTTACTGTTAGCCTTCCACATCACACACAATTTACTTCTGGTGACACTTTTTCTTGAATACACTGGGATTTTCAGAGTGATACACCAGTAAAGGCTTCACTTTGAAATCCCACTAGCATTACCACAGAACAAGAGTTAGCCTGTCTTTCATAGGCTTGTGTCCTGGCAGTGCCTTTTCCTCCTGTGTGATGTAGGTCCTCTTTGGCATTTTCATCCAAAAGAGGCCTGTTTTGTTTCAATTGAGCACTTGTTGGGGGAGGAATCCTTCATCCTCTACATACACCTGGAATTCATGCATCAATTTTTCAGCTGCACGTTTGTCAGAACTTGCAGCCTCGCCATGCCTTACCACACTGTGTATGCCACTATGCTTCTTAAATCTTTCAAACCAGCCTTTGCTGGTCTTAAATTCACTAACATCAGCACTCGTTCCACACATTTTCTTTACAAGATCGGTATGCAACTGCCTTGCTTTTTCACAAATTATCGACTACATAACACTATCTCCTGCCAACTGTTTTTCATTGATCCACACTAATAACAAATTCTCAACATCTTTGATTATATGCAATCTCTTTTTGTGAGCATATCTACCCTTTTCACAACAACAGCTTCCTCGAATTTCTTTTTCTTCACCACGATGGAAGCGATCGTTGAATGGGGGCTTCCCATACATCCTGCTGAGGTTGACCACACGCACTCCATTTTCATATTTTGTGATTTCTTTCTTTAATTTTGTCGTGTTTCTCACCTTTACCAAAGGGCTGGTACTACGATCTTTCTTGAGGCCCATGGTGGCTTATTTAGCAGTTGCAAGCACAAAAAAGAATGGAATATTATGAAATGTATCTTATGAATGCATGGGGTGATGGTCACTCGCAGAGAAACAATGCCATGCTGACTGAATGGTGTATG